AGTTTGAGTACCAAAGGACAAAGAATTCTACGCAATTAGTTCTCGTCATTAAAGCCGTATTGCTATTGGGTGTTCAGAACGGTTCTGAGATCATTCACTCCTGAAGTATACAGGGTGTCCGCAAAGTTGGGGTTTTCCTTTACACGACGTGTAGATCTTGAAAACATAAGCAACTTTTCTTAGTACCATATACACCAATGTCTTAAGGGAACCGAGATAAAGGGCTCTGCAACATCAAAAATATCTGAATACCGTCCTGTAGCCGCGACTCGCGATATCCCCAACTGGTACCGGCTACTAGCTCAACCCGATGACAGAACTGGGTTGGGGGTCGGGGTCAGTGTGTCAGGTCAGTATGCAACCTTCAACCGACGGTTACGGTCACGCGTGCAGAGGTAAACGAACTCGTATAATCGATTGCGTTTCAAAAAACAACAAGCACTAGAGAAGTGCAAGTATCAAAAACTAAAGTCTGACAAACGCTGCGTGCAGAGGGGCTGTATCCGTTTCACGTCCAACGTGTACAAGCCCTTCAACCTGACGATTTTCCAGCAAGAGTGCGGTTTTGTGAGTGGTTGTTGCATCAACATGACAATAATCCGGACTTTTTGAAGTGCATATTGGTGACAGACGAATCTACGTTCACGCGTAATGGGGTGAATAACTTTCGCAACACTCATGTTTGGTCAGTAGAAAATCCGCACGCTGTCCGTCGGGCACATTTTCAACAAACATTTTCGGTGAATGTTTGGGCTGGCATGGTGAACGGTAGGCTCATTGGACCATTTATTCTCCCAAATCGATTGGACGGGATGCAATACCTAGACTGTTTACGTCTGCTCGGTAGCGCATCAGCTGATTTCATTTTCTGTTGGAGCGGTATGATTTCGGGCAGAGACGTACTTAGCCCTTCTCGTCAACTGGAGAGTGAGTACTTTTTCCTTTATTTTTTTTACTTGGTCGCCCTCGTTTCACTACACATTACCTTTGTTATTTCAAGGGTAGTTGTTTCTAAAAAGGAAAACCCCAACTTTGCGGCACCCTGTATAACAGACACCTAATTATCACCAGCAGATTTGAGTAGGTATAAGGAAAAAAGCATCGATTTTAACATTGCTGCAGTATTCGCACAATTTGACGACATTTCTTACTTTTTAAATGACATATTTCGTACTGAATAGATTCTTCATATCCCATATGAAAGCAATAATACTCGTTACTTTGAGTCCACAAGAGGCAGCTTCAACACAGACTGGATTGATAGCGACCACCCTGTACGCAGATAACTTCGTTGTCGTTGCTTTTTCGACTGAGCACGGATCAATAGGATGTTTTTAGATTGCCTCCTACGGGAAAAGGGTGGATGAACTCGCCCCCTGATGCGTAATTTTCCGAAAACAGGGAAAAAAGATGTATTGTAAAGAAACGGGTATGAAAATAACAGACAAATAACTTACACACTGCCAAAAATCGGCAGGTTAATAAGAAGTGTCCATAAATGACGCATCTCAGTGAAGAGTACGAAGTTTTGAAATGGTTTATACATGAATAGAGAGTAATAGATAACTCAGATTTTGTATCATACCTTATCAGACTTAAAAAGTGTCAATGGAAATGATTTTAATTTTTCGATATCTATGGACATAAATATGTCAGACAGAAATAAAGTCCTACACCGTTCAATTAACTTGTTTAAAAAATCCTGAAATCGGTAAAAGATGGCTGCAGTCTGCAAATGGAAGATACGTAAATTACAATTCATTAACTGTTTTCTCATTTTTACCAGGTTTGTATCCCAAACTGTTATCTTATCTGAAATAGTACATAAAATTGTGAAGGAGATAGCGAAAGTACTGTATTATGCATTGGGTAAATTATCCATAAATATTCCTGATATCTAGAAGAATGATTACTCTTATATTCTTCACCGTATTTTCAATGGTAAGAAAACAGCTCTTAGGCATTGTTCTCACAACAAGCAACCGAACTACAACTCAATTTCGACTTCGGTTGTGTTTCCACCGAAGCAGCTGGCAGTTTTATTTTGATGTCGTGGATAGAACCACAAACGACTGTATGCTGAGTAATATGAATACAGAATAGACAGTATATTTTGGTTCTGACTGAAATAAAATCGTACAAGTCTTTCACAAATGAAGGGTACCGGGGAAAAACGGCATTAGTCCATATTTGGCTAAATTGAGCTTTCAGTTTATTTTGGTGGCATTTTCCTGATGCTATCTTGTAATCAGCTTCTTACATTGTAAAAAGGGTTTACAAAACAACAGCTATAAGATTCCCTATGCCGGGGAAGAATGGCATGAGTCCCTGCGCGTGGATGGAAAAACGGCATCAGTCCATATGGAAAGGCGGCGTTGCATCGGCTGTACCGCTTATATTGACTATATTCGCTAATTTAGTTTATAATACGGGTTTTGTGTATAATGTATAGTGACTATTCAGTTTCAAGTGAAAATAAACCAGGCCCATCAAACAGAGAAACGAAAAATCTCAAAAAACAGGAAGACAAAGAGACGTAACTAAAACGTTGTGCGCCACTACCCACGAACTTAGATCTGATTGTTTTTGTGAACGTTTTCGCTGTTTTACTACTGTTCCTGAACCTGAACGCTGTAGACTTCTCAGTGAATTTAATGAACTAGGACACACTAATGCACAAAACGCTTATCTTGGTGGTCTCATCACTGTTCTTTCTGTCATGCTTAGACGCCCTCGAAAAAATGAAGCAGGGTCAAGGCTTAATAATGCTTCATTTAGTTATCGCGTCCGATTGGTTGAAAATGGAATTATACATGATGTTCCTGTTTGTCTTAAGGCTTTTTTGTCTTTACACTGAATTACAGTTCGTCAAGTTCGGTACATAAGAGACTCATTAGTTGCAACTGCGAAATCGCTCAACGACATGCATGGAAAACACAACACACGACTTCACAAACTTTCAGAAAATATAAAACAGAAAGTGACCGAGTTTATTAAGAGCCTCAAATGTCGCAAAATCTCATTATTCTTTGTCAGATTCGCAAAAAGTTTACCTACCTGAAAATCTAAATATCGCAAAATTACACAAAATGTCTATTGGCAATGTTGAAAACAAGATTTCCTATGAATCCTTCCGAGAAATCTTTGAAGACAACTCCAATATATCGTTCGGTTATGCACGAAAAGATACTTGTAGTACGTGTGATTTTTTAAAAGCAGATATATCTTCACTTACCGCTACCTTAAACTCCCACACGGAAGAAACTAGGCAGCCAGCACGTAATAATTTGGAGAAAAAGATACTTGAGAAGACACTACATCAAAAAAGTTAATTACCGCAAACGTGCCTCGAAGTTCCCTGCTATCGAAAGTATGACGATGGATTACCAAAAAAACTTGCCCTGCCCAAATATTACGACAAATGATGTTTACTATAAGCGGCAGCTAATTTGATTAGTTTTAACATCAACATTTTGTCAAACTCAAATTCTATCTTTTATACCTACGATGAATCTATTGCTAAGAAAGGAGCTGACGGTGTCTGTTCTATGCTGTATCACTTTTTTTATAACATCCTGCCTATGGAAGTAAAAGGACTTGCCATTTTCTGTGACTCCTGTGCAGGGCAAAATAAAAACTTTACAGTTATTCGGTTTTTGCATTACTTGGTTATCAAGAAAAACCGTTTTACTATTGTGAAAGTAATATTCCCGATCAGGGGGCATTCATACCTTGAGTGTGATAGAGATATGAGTCTCGTGAACCAAAGAGCATACACTGAGGTACCGGATGACTGGAGAGATAAATCGAAAAATTGCCGTGTGAAGCCTACACCATTTGAGGTCATTGATTATGGCAAAAATTTTGATTTTCAAGATTGGAGTACGTTTTTATCGCCGTTTTATCCAACGAAGTGCCCCTTTCCAACCTGACCAGTCAGGATGCTCAAGTTTTGTAAACAGAATCCTCGCGTAGTTTTTCACAAATCGATATACATGGGCGTATATGCTCGTTCTAAATTTGATAAGGTAATTAGGAAGAATCTAAAAAAGACGCAAAAAGATCAACAAAAACGAGAAGAGGAAACACTGAGAAAACTTTGCCAGAGCCCAATCTCAATTAAAAGTAAGACATGGAAGGATCTGCAGGATCTGACCAAATTTCTAGAGAGAGCCGGTTCCAGAGCATTCTATCAACAGTTAATATCTCTTGATTATCCAGAAGACAGCAGTGATGAATATGTCAATGACCCGCCAATAGACGCTTAAAGTGGCACGAGTCCAGAGTTGAACATCATCTATTGTTTGCTACATTACTAGTTTTGAGTAAAAGTTCATTTAGTAAAATCTATTTTGCCAATAAACACACTGTTTAGCGAAGATATTCTTTACGAATTATTTTTAGATCAATTTTACTTTCCAACAAGTAAGCAAACCTTAATTACCGTTGTTCTCAAAATCAGTCCGGATGGACTATTGTCGTTATTCCCCGGTACCCTTCAAATAACATTTAGCAGGTCAATCAATCAGCGCACTGTTTGTTTAAATATTACCATTACTTAAATATATATGCAATAAAGGATCTGCGGAAAGTAATACTTTGTGTGTAAAAATATTTCTTGAGTCTGATGATTACTTGTACACCATTGACTTGCTTGTTCCACTTCCACTCGTGACAAATGTGTAACTATCCTAAGGTTTTCACCACTTCAGAGAACTAGCGATGGCAGTACCAGCAACCGTGGTCAATTTGCAGTTTTTTTGGTATAAAAGCTTGTATTTGAATGCATGTGCCGATAAGGTTGCGGTTGCCAGTTGCTTTCGTTGAGAACGGTCCATTACGTTAGACGGATTAAATGTAATAAGGGTCATTTACTAATATAAATTGTTATTGAGAAAATAATAAGATATTCAGCTATTAAAAGCTGTTAAAATACTTCTATTTGCTAACCATAATGCGAACAATAGACACATTTCTATACCAAAAAGCATGCGACATACCTTGCTGATCAGCATATCCTTCTCATCGAAATGCCTGCCGAACATTTTAGGGGATTCACCCGGGATCGGTTCTATTTTAATGCACACCTCCATTCCTTTCCTAGCACTCTCTACGGACTTGTGGTTGTTCTCTATACTGGTCACGATGCCCAGGTCAACAAACTGGAACAGATATTGAAATAGTAATATTCGACATGTCAGTGTAAGTTTAGTACGAATATTAGATATGATGCTAAAATGGAACATCATAGCAGTGAACAAATATCCTACTCCAGATAAGTGAAATTGCAACTGTTTTTGGGGGTAGCATAGAGACATGAATATAGCATCATATACTAGTGTTCATGATGTGTATAGGGAAAATGAAATGTTGGCATCCACCAACAAACTCTTAACTCTATTATCGTCATCATATCTAGTTATGATAATATAACACATATGACATCAATTCCATGAATGTCAGAGATGAGTGTATATATTGGTAAATTAAATTTGAACCCACTAAGATTCTCTTTAAAGTGTGGATCAGCTAAAGTACAATATTGAGGATTAAGTACACTTTCTACACAAGAGAAAGAACAGGTGGTTAATATAAATGTCGGAGATACAGAAATTATTACAAATATATTTACCTTTCAGGTAATACTTGTATTCAAAATTTTTAGAAACGTCTGGAATATTTATATGCCCTCGTGAAAAATACTAATAATGAATAATAATAAACGTCTTTATTAGACGTGCTATCTGTTTTAATCATCTGTTTTTCTGTGCTTGAGCAAACGGTGTTGTTGAAAACAGAACAAAAATAATCATAATTTTTGGGGTGCATAATTTTATCGGGAATTTTCTCGGGGAAAATAAAACCTTTGGGTATTTTTGGGGCACTTAATTTCATTTTTAATCGTGTAGGACTAGCCACTACCAAATAGCAATTTCCACTTTTATATTTATACATTTTAATCAAATGGCATTTACGCCATGACAAAACAAACAAATAACCCGAGCTCTCGATCGCGCCAGTATTGATGAGTATGGGATATTAAGACAACATAAGAGCACACTGATTGCGTAAATGCTATTTGAATAGGAAGTAATATAATATGATTTGATTCTATCTGACCATCTGGCAACTCTGGACGGCAATATTCGCAGTAGGGATATTCCGATTTTCGGTCTGCAGCCCGCAGCCGGTAGCCGACACCTTGAAATGTATACATGGATAATAACCCGTCACATGAAGTCTTTCGCCTACCACCCTTCATCCGTCGTCTGCCACCTCGGAGTATAATCGCGGCCTAAGAGGGTCTTATTCGATATTTTTTTTCTCCAGGTAAAATCATAGTTTAGACATCTGAAGAAAAAGACTAACCTCTTTGCTAGGAACACAAATCGGCGTTCCCTCTTTGACGATCCCAGCCTCCACCATGACTCCCATCACGATCGGATCCCTGGAGTTAAAAACGAACTGGGGCAATACGCGCAGCTTGCAAGGAAAAACGGCTACGTGCTTGAACTCCTCTCGTTTCCTCTGGCGCAACTCGTCTCTGTATGCCATGAACTTGTCGAACAGATGGTAGATGATATCAGCTTGGAAGATCTTCACGCCGAGACTATCGGCCAACTCCTGGGCATCTTTTTCTACTTTCACGTCGAACGCCAGGATCGTTGCGTATCTGAAATTGACAAAAAACAATTTCGTAAATATCCACTTGACAAATGAAAATACTACAATCTCAATACAGTTTTTTTTAGAAATAATCGCTTTTCCGCAGGCTGATCTCGTAGAAAATGGAACTCAATTTGATAGCAGCTGTTGTTATCAAACCAAACTTTGTTTTTCATATCAGCAATGACAATACAACCTTGAAGTTGGTTTCAGATTCGCTGCCACCGTAGTTGGTTGGTATAATATATTCCTTTACAGATATAATTTTAAACTTTACTTACTGAGGTTCATGCTCCAACATTATAGATGCCTTCATTACATCCTTTTTGACTACAGGTCCTATCCTAATTCCACAGTACTGAAAAAGAAAATAAAAAATAGTACTCACATAAACATCCCATTACAAACTAATGTTAATTCTTAGAAGCGACGAAAAATAGCAAAACAGTTACGCAATATATTTAAGTAATCTTTTAGTAAAGGGAAAATATGGTACTTGCAAATTTCGGTGAGGAGGAAATCCTCTAGGAAAAAACCTTTATGAGGTATTTGTGAAAGTTTGGTCCATCAGCTTATATATTTCTCGAAAACGATTTTTGGGGAGGATTTAGCAACCTGGGAGTTGCATGAAAGATTCGGCATACACATTACAGAGACTGAATAGACGGAAACCTCAGGGATTTTTCACGTGTAAGCTGCACTTAAATCACTCGGTTGATGTCATACAGTATATCACCAAAAGCTGCAAAAACTTCAATCAATGGCTGCTTTCACTAGCACTTAGCAGACCTGCAATCAATAACAATGACTATTTCCTTCGTTTTAGTTTCTACCAATCACAAACGCACAATTTTGAATTACAAATGGTTTCTAGTTGGAAAAATTGTATGACAGCACCTGTTAGCAGTTTTTTCGAGTTTACCCGCGGCAAAACTTGACAGCTGTTGTCACCAAAAATAACAATACCTTTGATAACAAGTAATTATGGTCTCCTAGGACACCAGGCAACGGCGCCCAACGATTTTTCAGATTTTACTGTCAATAAATTTTGTTATATTTTTTTTTAAACAGTGCTTGTCAGCTTATGTAGTGAAAATGAGCCGCTTTGGAAGTGATCTTTGACTAATATTGATCTGGCGATTGAGAAAAGTGTACCGTGCAAAACCGTTAAAAACCATACGTCAATATGAAAACAGTTTACGAAATTCGGTAAGGCAAATAAATGCGAGCTTTTAGAAACTACAACTTCAGAGCAACTAAAGCTAATCCTGAAAGATTGGACGTGGAATATGAAGAAAGAAAACGGTGAAAATTACAAAGAACTAGTTGTGAAGATAATGTGGAATACCGTCGCAAAAAAATGCAAGAGATGAATTTTATGAAGCGGAAAATAATTTTTTATCCATTTAAAGATATTATGTTTAAGTCTACTAGAGAAGCTCGTAATGCGAAACGAAGGAACTTGCAGGTACTTTAAGAAATACTTTAATAGGTAGTATGTTTTGTAAGCTATATGTATGCAGAATAATCTGTTAGTCATGAAATAGTCTTGTCAAATAAAATTCGGGCATCTAATTTTTTCCTGTGGAAAAAAATCGAAAAAACTATGCAAAGTAATATTTTTTTAACAAAAAACATTCGTGCAGGTGTTTCCACCAGCACTCATGCTTCTTGTTAAAATATTACTTAGCAACGAGTTTCTTCGATTTATTTCAGAAAAATTAGGTGCCCTTATGATATTACTTATGAATATAACCTGTGCCTGCAGTGCTAAGATTCAGCTGAATGCTAGTAAGCGCAGCCGTTGGATGACATTCAGCAGCTTGACACCCAATCTGTGGATAATTCCAAGAACAAGTTTGCGTCAATTCTCACCGAGAAATATCGTTGAATTGAAAGAAAATATCTGTCGCGAAATAGAAACTGCAATGTTTCAGCTTGTCACGCAAAATGGGATGAAGGAGTTCGGTGAATGGAAGCAATGAAATAATCAAGATGACATGATATTCAAAAAATAAATTTCGCACATCTAGTGCTTTATTTTCAATAAAAATTTTTTTATAAAATGTTCCAAATCTTCTTTGCTGAAGAAATGCTTCTAGTTTGTGCGGGAAAATACCAAAAATACAAGTCAAACACATTATTTTTCCAAAATCTGGTTACAATTATCCAGCTAGCACAAGCACGTCATAATGACGTCAACATTTGGTAATAAATCGTGAACAATTGACGTGATTGTTCCAAATATCGACGTCGTAATGACGTCTACTAAATGTACAGCTGTATATGTGTACTGCAAGACGTTGTTATTATGTGTTTTTGAGGTTATCTTTTTTGAATCATTATATATATTTACATGTACGATGTTTTTGTTGAAACCAATCTCTCCTGTTCAAAATGGATCTAGTGAACAACACATATCACATTTTAACTATTCAATGTGTTATGTATCCTTGTTTTTACGTTTACTTCGGCAACGCTGTATCGAGTGACAATTGACAGTGAACAGCAATTGCCGTTATTCCCGCTCCTGCCATTTGTACCCGGAGTGCTGAGTATTCCCCAAACTATAGAAAAATAGACAATTTTGAAAATAGTTTCAGTCTAACGTGACTTCACTTCTCTAGAATATTGTGTATACACTTTAGGTGTTACCCGTAGCATTACATAGCTCATAGGGTGTAAAAATGACAACATTATACTACCCTAAAAGTCGTCTAAACTGGTAAAGTGGGGAATGGGGGCCCTGCAAACGCTCGTCTTTCATCGCTAGGCGAGCAGCAGCAAGCCAGTGTTACAAGGTATAGCCTATGGTGCTCCATCTGTGTAACACAATATATAATTTTTTGAAGAAACGAAAACCCGTTATTTATTATAAATAATACACGTCATCTTCATGTTCCACAAGAGACGTGTTATTATTGTCTACCATATGACGCCATCGGCACGTGACATTAAGAGGTGATTTCCACGTTACTTCTACGTCATTCAACTCATTTCATGACCAGTTTGCAACGTCATTTTCACGTACGAAAGATCAAAAGAAAAAATGTAATTATGCTTCATGAAATAATATCTTAGGCTTGTCTTTCATTTTTGTCAGAGATCAGGCAATTTTCACATTGTGCGAATCTAAGGCACGATTGCCATCGTCGTTTTAGAAAACAGCTATATGGATATTATGACTGTTCAAGTAACTACCAGAGTAATAAATATACCAGTTTAAGTATTGTACGCCAAAACATCAAAATATCCAGCACAATAAAAATATGGGGACTAGAAAATTGGTTCAGTGAGAATGCACCATTTCAATATTCAGTATGTGTGAAAAGTAGTAGGAAGACACAGACAGTAACAAAATCTATGGCTTCTATTTATAGCTTTACGAGTATGTCGGGCTGCAAGACCTTCAGGCATCGTATAAAAGCCATAAAAGAAATCTAGTTACTGCGAGATTGTCCGGATCCGAAATGGACTAGTTGCTAAACTCGTCTGAAATGAAATAATCATTCAACAAAGACAATTTGAAAGTTTCCACAATGGGTTCTCAACTAACTTTTACAGCTACAGAATTAGATGAAAATCCAACTCTCTTGATGAAACTTCATATAAAAATAACCATAAACGGACTGGAATGACTGAGCTTCGAAAATAGTTTGTTGTTAATGGGAAGAAACTTCGATTAATGTCAGTAGTAGTACCTTCTGATCAATAAAGTATTCGGCTATAAATACGGTATTCCTATTTTTTTTTAGTTTGATGCGTATTACCTGATGATTATAGAAATAACATTAGTTCCCATTAATGTTACTAGTTATTCTGAGCTGGTTCCCAGTGACTCAATTACTCGGATTAATTCCTGTTACTATTGTTGCACTGCACAAGAGAGATAGAGATATACTCGTATTTCTGAAATGCGAACTCTTGCGAATGTATAAAGCACTTGTAGGGCGCCACATTCCATGAGCAAAGAGTTATTACTTTGATTACATTTAGTCATGGCGTTCATTGATGCTTTTGAGTTTGATTTTTTGTGATATCTACCTTACCCTCCAAAATTCCTTCAATATTCGAACCTCTTTTGTGATGTATTTCGTCGTATGCTTTTTAAAATTTACAAAGCAAGCATACACGTTGCTGTTTATAGCCCAAACTGTCTACGAAAATCTGCGTATTCTTAATGTAACGTCTGAAACCTATCATGTGGTTTTTATGCTCCGCTAAATGAAACTACACATGTAAGCTTGATTTTTACTAACGTTTCGGGTACCGAGGCGGCCTCTTGTAAAGTATAGATAAAAAAAGTGCGTATTCTTATATCCCCCTTGATAACAGAACGTGGCATAAAGTGAACTGACACGTTATATGGCATTATTGATAATCAATAGATTGGTCTTCAGGAATCTAAAAAGTCATTTTAACTTTAGATTCAGTATAGCATAACTTGAAAAGTCAACTGCGAAAAAGTCAGTCATGGAGTAACCTTTGTCTTTATGATCAAATACGAGCAAATTCTTTTCAGATCAATAGAGATGGTGCTCTATTTTTGTTGTGGCTTTGAATTTAAAGGATTAGTTGCAGAATATTCTATAGAATGGAAAAAAATTGATAAAAGTAGCAATTTTCAAATTTGCCATAATGTTGAAATCTTTGGCAATATAACTTCATTTTAAAAAGCACCTTTATTGCAAGTTATAATTTTGACAGTATTTCATGAAATCGGATGTTTCATAAGTCGCTCTGTGAATATGTAGCTGCTTTTAAATCCCTATTTCAAACGAGTTTTTTACTGTAATTATCTCCTTCAACATAGTCGATAAGAACTTAAGTTTTTATTGCCGAAACCGTACGCGTGCTAGAAAAAAAATATTATTTCAGGAATTACCGCTCTGACGTACTAGTTATGTTAAAACGTTTATCAAATTAGATTGACTCATTAACTTCGTATCTGTTTTTTACATGATTTTACTCTAACTTTATTGAAGTTAGGTATTCATAATAACTGCAATATTATCACGTTCAATCTAATTTTAACAAGGTTCGATCCAATATTGCATTATAACCAAGGTCACGACTTAACAGAAACATGGTCAAGGACACAAACATTCGTTATTCTATCACTTTATTCTTATAACACAGCCCACATTTTTGATCAACTGAACATTCGGCCTCGACTAAAGGTTGTGTTAAAAGCCGAATGTCGGAATCAGCTTGATTCAAAAAATTGACCTTCGGTCTGTATAAAAAACTTCAACCTGTTCTACTTTCTACGCTAAAGTTAGTGAAGTTTGACACTAAAAATGGTGCCTATCTCGCCATAGCGTTATTTGAACAATATTCATGTTCTGTCCTTACTCA